TGAACAAATTTGCTTTTATTTTTTATTATTATTCGTTAGACTAGATTAAATCTGTGTAATGTAGAACCAGGATTAAAACTTCAAAAATTAAATTTGAATGAAATGCTTTCAACAAAACAAAAGTTGATATATAGAAAATACTGTACAATCTATCATTTATATCGATTTATGGTTTTCAATCATATAACAAAAGTTAATAAAAGATTACGATGTTTTAAATAAAAAGAATTTGGTGCTATAAAATATCTGACATTACATTAAGTGATTGTCATATAAATAAATATTTTATTTGTTGAACACCGTAACGTTGAGTATAGCCGAAACAACACATTTTGAGTAACAGGCTTTCTATTGTATACTAGATACAGAAAAGAGAAGGAAAAATGCTATGATCGGTTGTGAATGCAATAAAATAATTAAAATTTAACGCTTAATATATACCCCGTATAAATTGTGATTTAATGTACACATAATAAACTTACGCTAAAGGAATTTTTAAGAAACACAATATATCAACTAAGATTCATAATTTAAAATCCATCGTCTTTCCATAATACAACGTCTTCAGAGTATTTGTGTTTTTCACTGATGATCAATAAACGAGTCAAAAGTTTTTACCATTAGTTGCGATGAATAAACGCATTCTGACCAATTTTTGCAAGAACTAAAACAACCAGTAAGAAAGGTTTTGCTAGAGAACAATTTTCAATCACATAGGTGCAGTGTCATTAGCATGTGCCTGGTCTATGCCAAATCAATCAAAGATATTACCTGGTCATGAATAGAAATGAAAGTTAATTCAGATTTTTTGCTTTCGTCACAAACATATGCTGAAATGAATTTGATCTGCAATAAATCAACTTACCAGAGATCTTGAGACCAGAGACAAAATGAATATGTCAATCTAGTGAAAACTAGCTAAAACAATAAAAGAAGGTATCATAAATCTATTAATGAAGTAAGATTGCTCATCGTTGGTTCTCGTTCCAATAATAAATCTTTGAGAATTTATTTTAACTTCTTATTTTATACAAATAATAAAATTAATATTAATTCTTCAGTCATTGCTATTGAGTCGCATAAACTGGAAATCTTCAAACCTCTGAGATCTCATCAAATTTTTCTCTTCCTAAACACAGATGAAAAAAATAAGAAACAACAAAATCAAAGAACAAACATCAATCATAAAATGTTTTAACTAAATATATTTTTGATCATAATGCTTTCGACAGTAAAAAACTTAAGTCATAAAGTCAATTTTCTCTCATATTCCACGAAACTTAATTGATTTTTTTTTTATATTATTTAATAAAATCATTAAAATCTCGCACTCTTTCTTCATTTTAAATGGAAAATTAATCACAATAAAAACGGTTTAATAGTGTGATTTATTGCTATTATAATATCGTTGACTTATGTAAAAAAATTGATGAATTGTGTATGGACAAGAGGAGACGAAAAACACATTCAATTGTACACCTAATAGTGTAAAAGTTTATAGTGTTGATAGGAATGAGCAGAATGATGTATCTGTGCTGGATGCTTTTATAACGATCACTTAACTTCTTACCTCAATTATTTTATTATAAGACATCGATAAAGATCATGAGAAATCATAAAGTAAGTTATATCTGTGATAATGGAGTGAGTGTTTAAATATTCAATAGAATTTGGGAGGTTCATTTAGAGCTCATCCTTGAAAATACTCAAGTTCATTCATTACTTACTTACTTACTGTAACCATGTTCCTATGTGGAACTTAGGTTACAACAAAAGGCTTTCCATCTGACTCTGTTGCTGGGTCTCTCACCTAGTTTGTACAGCTTCTCTGTCCGCACATTAAGCTGACATTCTTTCATTACTGTTCTGCGTTAGGTAGCTTTTGGAGCTCCAGGGCATCTTTTCCCTTGCGGATTCCAACCAAGGGAGGTGTATTTCTGTCCAAGCAATGACATTCTCTCTGGCAATTTTCATTCATTGAAAGGATGTTTTTCTGAATTTCCTTTAATATTTTCAATTTTGACTCATTTGATAGTATGCATATAAATCAAACTTCTAGATTAATATTTCTATAAATCTTGGAATTCGAATGTTCACAAAAAATTTATTTCCATCATCACAGAATAAAAATGATTGAATAAATTTAATACACGTGAAGAAACAAAGGAGGGAAATCTATAAAATTAGTAAAAAACGTTGGATCTATTTTGTTTTGAAATGAGCGCATTTTAAGTTAATGGATATTTTTGAATTGAGAACAATTGTTCAGAGTCAACATAAATATTCAAATCATTTACGATTGAATTATGAATTACAAAATTTTTATAGAATAAAATTGGAAATGCTTGTTAAAAGTATTCAAAAACCAGTAGACAGCAAGACAAACTGAGTCTTTATACGAAATCCAATCATCTATAAAAATTCTTTTGATCAATAAAATATAAAACTTTGAGCAATAAAATCATAAAAATTGATTTTTAAATTTAATTGTGTGCTTAAATATTATAACATCTTTGGATCATTAAAAAAACAAATAGGAATAATCTAAAAATGTTTAAAATTTATTGTATGAATCAGTCATCACATTTATGTTACTTAAATTTTTTTTTCGTTCACAAAAGGAAGAAAAGAAATGAAATGACATGTGCTAAAACAATTATCACTTTTTTCAGTTAATGCTGAATTCATTTCTGGTATGAATAGCATATAATTATCACCATTAGTTTTGGATCTATATAAACATCTATATTGTTTTTAAATGCTTTTTGACTCGGGCAGCATATTACTCATATGAATGTACATAATGAATTCAGCATTCAATAAAATCCATTAACTCATATCTTTCTTTATGATTATAAAATGAACAAGAAATTTTCTACCTAAAAAAAATATTTTTTTCATATCCAAGTTATTTCTTAAAGTCAACAGGAGGAAGTATCAATATCAATTATATTATTAAGGATCACACACAAAAAGGAGCAAAAGAAAATAAGACCCGGATGTTTAAATAAAGCAAACAAAAGGTTTGAGGGATGACTGTATGAAGGTATTAAGGAAAGAAATTGGTTTTGTGAACATGCTTATAGAAATGATTGATTTTGTGTCGAATTATTTATGAATGAATACAAACTACTTACTATTTTCTCTCTTTCTCTTTTTTCCAGATAAAAAGACTTTCACACTGATCTTTGCTATTTCAGCTAAGCATTAAATGTATTTGAGCAGGAATATAAATCTTTAATGGTTGCAAAACTTATGTTTAATAAAGGGTGATTGTGCTTTTTACAAAAATTAGATATAAATCGATTGATCGGATTAATCTATTTGATTCTATTATATTGATATCTTCTGCAAATATCATACACATTTGAGGATACCCAAAAAATGTCAAAAATTTTACATGCAAAAAAAGTGTGTTTATTTTTTGTGACTACAAATAATTTCAATTATGATCTCGATACAACAGATGTTACAATTTTCTATGACACATTTATTCTATAGATAGAGCTGCTTTTGTTCAGGCTCATTCAATTATTAAAAGTCATGATCAATTTTTCTGTGATGTTCATTCGGATTTTATTGATTTTCATTGTTGTAAATAAGTTTCAACGATTTATTTCCAGCTTCCAAAAACATCAATTAAGGCACGAAATGTCTACCGTAACGGAACACTAAAGATGTTTGTCTAAGTAATTGGTTTAAACATGTCAAAAAAACGGTGGAGATCATAGATATTTAAATTAATAATACTAATAATTTAAATAAAATGGATGGACAGAGAACTCTTCTTATTTAAGTTATGAATGACGTTTAAATAATGAATGAATAGAGTAATTTTATGGTTCATCATTTTCCAGTGCAATGTGTATCTAAATTATGTCGCACATTTCTTTAAAATTATTCAACCCCTTTCTAAATTGTCTTATAATCTAAATCAATCTAAACTGTCAAAATTGCAGTACAAATTGCTCTAATAGGGTGAGCATTTATTTCTTCAAAATGAATTATGTTAAAATTCCAATTTTCTCCATTTATTCAACAGATTTATTCAGTAGGTAGAGAGGTGAAGCGCAATTTGTCATATTTGAAAGAAGAAAAAAGTTTAAACAAAAATCCCCTGATATAATTTAACATAAAAATAATTGCTCTAATGACATCAATCCATCATATTTAACTGCTACACCATATTTTATTATAGAACGCTAGAAAAGATGATATATATAAAAATTTATTCCATTAATTAAAGTGCAATTAAAAATCAATTCCACTTTCTATGACCCTAGGACATCATATTGCAAAACTGGAAGTAAATATGAAAATTAAATATAAATTTTTTTAATTAAATCCAATTTTGAAAGTTTATTTTCTTTTGTTATATCTATTTCTACATTATCTTTTATGTAATTGTACAACTATACAACTCACTTTGTTCTTGAATCAACTGAAATTACAAAAACTTGGTAAAAATTGATTGTAAATTTTTTGATGCATATTTTTTTCAAAAAGTCAGCATCCTTAGTGTCATTCCTCTATTCAACATTCTCAAGTTTTTTGAAGAAAATATTCAGCATTCAATAATTGATTAAATTGAGATGTTTATTTTTTTAATAATCACATTCTTTTTTTACTTTAAAAGAAATAAAGTTATAAATTAGCTATTTACATTTTTTTATATTAAGCTTTAATACTTTATTCCACAATTAAATAAAATTTAAATTAAATTCGTTCAAATTACTTATTTTCTAGAAACTGACTCATGAAATAAAATCTCATTTTAATGTAAGTGAGCGCTTTTTATATATCTAATTGGATGTCAAAAGAATTTGATTTTAGATAATTTTTCATATACTGTCGATTCAAATTATACTTAAATGTGCTTAAATGCTTTTTTTTATAAACTGGATTAACATAATCCATAACTGTAAACCTATACAAGTTTAATTTTTATGAGCTATCGATGAACCCTTTTTTAAGATTTGAAATGATTTAAGTAAAATTCCATTAAATTAAAATAAATAAAGGATAGAAACGACTGCTCAATAGTTCATGATTTGAATTTGAAAATTGATCAGCTATCAAACCGAATAATATTCAATTGATAAATGTTAGGCAAGCGTAGCAATATTTGAATCGATGAATTATGAAAAACTACCTTTCATAGAACGATGACCTCCTTAATGCTTAATTTCTATTCAGATAAAATTTAGCTTATATTAATGTCTCGAATCATCCTCCATCCGATATCGCTTTCGAGGGTTATTCTCTACCAAATCGATACTCTCAGCATCACTGTCGTCTAGCTGTTCGCTACAGTCACCATCATTATCGGGGTCACCATCACCTAATTCTTCTTGTTTTCTTTTGGCTGTTGCAATTTCAGCGGCTTGTCTCTTACGAAATTTCGTTCTTCGATTTTGGAACCATACCTAATGAAGAAATGCAAAAAAAAAATAAAGTTAATTTTGTATTTATTCAAAAAAAAAATTGTAAAATTTAAGAAAAAGCAAAATAAAACATATTTTAATTCTCATTTAATGAATGTGTGGCACATATGCGGTAATTGTTATTATTACTTTTTTGGATTAAGACACATTTTTGCTGCTCATTTCAAAAAATGTATGTTAATATTTTTTGCACATATATAAAACTACGAGAATAATTAAATACGTTTGTGAAATTGCTGGAAAAACCCCAATATGATGGCAAAAAAAATGTAAAGTAACTCGAGACTCAACTTTTGTTCGGAAATCAGTTTATATAACAGTAATATTTCTTGTTTTATGCCTTTTTGGTAATGAGGATTTCCTTTGTGAAATGAGAACACCCTCCTCGTTCATGTATACATAAATAAATAAGGAAATTCACCTCATGAAAACAATGTTGTGAGGAATGATGAAATAATTTGTAAAACATAAAAACAACACAGCAATTTTTATACACTCGGGCAAGATTTTCTTACTGCAGACAATTTCTCCTCATTTTTTTTTGTTTCCTTCTGCACAAGGGTCTGGTATGTGTTCTTTTTCTGCCTTTGGTTTAATATTAAAAATAAATTAATTCACATCTGTGTCCATACAACAGAATGTTTCATCAAGGATGCGAAAAAAAAGAACCAAGAATGTGGTTCTTGCTTTTATTTCATACTTAGACTACATTATGCAGCAATAGACAAGATGTGTATTGGAATATATACGTTCATTAAGATTCCTTTCAATAATTTTCGCCAATAAAAATCAATATTCAAATTTGATTATTTATTATGTGATATAGCTTATATCCAATAATTGCTGTTAAATGAAAACATCTGAAATTTTATACTACTTCTCATATATGGATAGATGGAAACTATACACAAAAATTATAAAATTTTAATGAATAAGCACATCAAATTATAGAATTAAAGATTTACGTTTTTGACATTAAATTGTAATTAAATACTCACTATACCAAAAATATATTTCAATCATGAGAGGAACGTATATAATTCATACGTTTTATAAATTATCATTTCTAGCAATTGGTTAATTAAGTTTATGGATTTATTTTGGAAGGATCAACATATAGATTTGGAAATGATAGAAAGGCGTTAAAATCAGATAGCTTCGAAATCGAGGTGTATTATTAGCATACATAGGTATGGTCTGATATCGTTTTGAAAAGGACTTAATGATCAAAAAATGTCAAAAAACGTGAACATCACAAAATCTTGCGATTCGCGAGTAATGTAAAGCATCTTCATAATGTGTTGTGAAAATTTGCTTCCTTGCCATGCTATTATTTTTCCTCCCACAACATTACAAAATATGGCGCTTCAAATGTTGATAATCTCTGAATTCATTTAAATATATTTTGTTCAACATATTTATTTAATGATTCTTTTATTATATAACATCCTTTGCCGCACACTTATTTTGGTATTCGTATAAAAATTATGACTATTACGGTTGTATGAGGTAATTATCGCAATTAGTCTGTTATCATTCGTGCACTGTATAAGTAGTATATTTGAATAATCAGAAGATTCCTTGAGACACATTTTTTGCAAATAAATTTCATTTTAACCTCATTCATTTTCATGAAACTTTATTTTGAGTGAAAAATTTCACGACTTAATGGCGACAAAAGAAATGAAATTTTTATGCCGTCATTCTTGGGTTTTGTTTAATGGGTTTTGAATTTCATTAATTTTTATCAGACTCATACTCTCTCCTCTCTCCCCTAGTTCCCCCTTCACTCACTCCTCGACATGTTCATTTCGCAATCGTACAACAATTTATAATAATTTAAATGAGTGTTTATTAATGGGAGCATAATTATTTTTATTATTAATAATAATAATAATTTTACTTAACCCAAAAATTAAATTAATTGTCTTTTTTAGCACATTTTTGTATGATAGGTGACTCATGGTGAATCATTTTGGTTGATTAAATAGTATACTAGAGATATTTTTCTTGTTTTTTCCATTCTTTTTTAAGAAACATTTATTTCTGTGTCATTTTTGGTTACTTGCAAGTTTCTGAACGTCTGAAATTATACAGTTTTTGGAGTAATAGTCCTGATTTCATGATGATTTTTTTTGACAATTCGAATACTACTTAAATTTATCAAATAAAATATATTTTTTTTTATAGATTTAAAATTTCATTAAATTTTAAATCCAGGACAAGACCTTTTTTTTGTAAAAACGTAGCGGTTAGCTTTATTATAAACATAATGTGCAAATGAAATTTTTTATCCTATTTTATTCCCACTTTCTAAATTTTGCTTGAGCAATACAAAATTTTAAAAAAAGTCTTATTCACCTTGTGTATTATCCAATTTATTTAGGTATACTATTTGAAAAAAAGCAAATGCTGATAGTGGAATTGAAGACGATTATAAAAAACATATCATTGATGCAAATCCTTTGTCACTTTAATTTATATGATAAATATCACATCAATTGTACAAATTCAAGACAACATAAATTTCGAAATGCAAATTGATGAGCGTTTAATAATAGGCAAACATAGACAAAAGAGAAGATTTAGTAATGGTAAAAAATATACATGATATGATATGGGGAAGGAAAACCATTATCATACAATGACAATGAAGATAAAATGAATTTGCAACTGCCTCAACAAATCCGTTTAAAATGCTGTTTAAATGGAGTAAACAAAAAAATATATCAACGCTCGTGTCTTTCGATTATTGATAATTCTCAGTGATAAATGACTTTTTAAATTTGAAATGGTTATACAGATAAATGTATATTTTTTTAAATTTGCTACAAAATAAAACAGAAGTGATGTTGATTATCGGTATTATATCAAGCGTGTTGCAAACATTATATTTTTTATTTGAGGTTATTGCAAAAGTATCCTTTAGTGTGATTCTTTCTTCATTTCATAATTAGATACACCCTAACATAGAGATGAAAACAGAGATTTCCATATTTATGTATGCTTAAAAAAGATATCAAGAGACAACCCATTAATAATTGTACATATTTGAGAATTGTAAAAACTCTTTTTTAATTAAAAAGCATAATTTTTCTTGATTAAAAATTATTAAGGGACATCTCGGGATCTACCTAGTCTTGAGAGATAAATTTTATTAATTTTTTCATGCTCTTTGTAGATGTCCTTAATTTGCTTTGCATAAACTGTAAAAAATTTTGGGGCACCAATCACATTTTGATGGTTTTAAAAGTGTCGAGATATATTTTCTTTTTTTTAATTAAATAATTTTTTTTTATTATTCTACATTTTTTTCATCCATTCCTGTAAGATGTTTCGCTTAAAATTGCATTTTAATTTTTTTTCTGTATGTCTCACTGTTTGGGTTGATTTAATTAAATTAAAACAATATCATTTGCATAATTTTACTCTGTGCCATTTGTGAATGTTTAATACATGTCCCATTGGAAGGAAAGAAGTGGGAGGCAATGAAAACAATTCTATGGAAATGGATACTAAGAGAAATATCATAATTATGGTTTTTAAAGTGTCGTTTGTAATTATCATTAATTTATTCAGTTGTTCATGTTGAGGTCAGCAGACTGAGAAACAAATCATTGCTAAATACTTTTTCTGTTCAACACAATCAATTTATATTCACAAACTTGTTGTCATGCCTTGTGATTATGGAAATTATTCGAAACGCTATTCATTTCTATCTTCCATTTTTTAATCAATGAAACACTCAGAAATCATGCTCAACATTGATAGAGTAATAGTACTATTTATATACAATACTCCCAAAGAGTGACTCCTTTCATTGTTTTGTTTGTATGTGATGTACATTTTTCTTTCTTTCATTCTTCTTCTTCTTCTTCTTTCGTCTGTTTTGGTGCTACGACGCATGCTACTTTTTACTCTCACAATTTTGCAGAAATCTAATAATTTTTTTTTTCCAATTTTTTCATCGAGACTTTTGTGGCTAAAAAATGAATGGGACAGGATTTGATTCAAGTATTCTCTGCATGTGATTAAGTGATGACTTTTAATAACATAGAATGATGAAAATTTTACAAATTAAGATTAATATATTTTTAAAAAACATCATCACAGCATGATGTGATTTTATTGAACATTTAGGGATGCATTGCTGCTTACAGTATCTGTTAATATTTGAGAATTACAATTCTCTTAAATAAAGTGCACAATGATATGGTACTTAATTTGATTATTTTTATATTAAATTGAAAGCATTTTTGCTGTGATTATAGACCTTAATAGTATAAATGGCAAATGGTTCCATCACATTGTTGACTTTAATTGAAAAATATGATTTTTTTGCTGTCGAACTTAATCGTTTCGCAGAAGAAGAGGGAGTTTTGTTGTTTCGTTGTTAAATGATTCAATACAGAAATGTTGAAGCTGACTTTATAAATTTCAATTTCATCCCCTCAATTAATATCTATCATGAGACCGTTTACATCTTCTCACCCTTTTTATTTTAGAATTTTTTTCCCTCATTCAAAATACTTTTGTATCTTTTTCAAGATACAACTTTATATATTGAGGTTTGACGTATCTTATTTTATTTAGCAGCATTATAACGCTTTGCTTGTTAGGATATACAATATACATAATTGAGCAGCAAACCGCCACCCTCCCTCTAATACATTATTTTACATAACAATAGATTTAAGATATAAATGTGACTTTAGCCTTAATAATCCTCAATATGTAACCTATTTGTAAGACCTAGTATGCGTGTTGAAATACTCATAACAGAATCGGTACTCAGGTCTAAAGTTTTGCAGCGCATAAATGGTTTTGCTTTAAGAGAGCATACATATTAAATCCATCTTGATGACATGAAGATTTTGCAAAAAATCTAAACTTCAGATTTGTACTGCAATTAATTGAAACATTAATTTTTTTTCGAACAGAAATTCTCAGACAAAGTGTTAGTGCTGCAGCAGTTTTGTGGTTGCAAATAATATTATTAAAAAAAAAACTATTTTACATAAGGCAGTAACGAAACGAAATGGAATTAAATATGTTTAATAATTTAGTCGGTAACAAGCCTTAAAATATATTAAAAATTTGAAAGGCATAAAACGACTTTAATGGATAAAAGACATTAATCTCTCAATTTTCCTGCCTCCGATTATTCTTTTTCAATTTCAAACTTTTTCAATTATTATTTGTGAGACTCTAAAGTTGTTTTTTTTTTTTTTTGGATATACGCATAAACGTGTGTTTTATGTAATATACAGAATCTGTGTGGCTTAATGCGAAATAATATTCATGAAATATCCATTTTGACCTATTTCTTGTTATTTCTGGTACGTATGAAATAAAATCTTATCAAATTTCCATTAATTGGAGATAACTCGGAAAATGTTTTTCTGTTGTTGATGGCAAAATGTTACAAAGTGAGTGAGTAATAAATGTTATCTAATTCTAAAAATATGGGGGATTTCAGCCTTATAAAAATGCTAAACAGAAAGGGATTTAGAATTCGCATTAAAATGGAAATTGAGTTTGAACAGAGACATTTCACGCAATCATCAATTATTCTTATACCATTTGAGTGATTTGGATGCTGATAATTCTGCGAATCCATTAAGCATAGTCCAGGTATTGTTAAATGCTAACCATAACTGATTTTCAAATATGTGTGTAATATGTAAAAAGATATTAAATAGATTATGTTCCTTAGAGAGAGCAAAACCATCTATAAATGATATGTTGATATCAGCATCATTTTGATATGGTCAATTGAAATACATATAAAAAAATCCAGATTCACCCCCTTTATTTTTATTTTCGTCACACATTTCATTTTATCTATTCCCATTTTTACTGTACTATAAAGACTGGAGAGTGAGTAAGTAAATTGAATTAAAATTTTGTGTTTTAGATATGGGGTGATGCTTCATATCTATAAAAACTGAGAATAACAATTTGCTACGCACATTTTACAAATCGGATGGGACATGCATCTACCCATATTTATATTTATATTAAATGAAACACATACAAGAATATTACTTTCCGATAGCATCATTAAATTTATATATTTAATAATCAATATTTTGAGCTTACCTTTACTTGTGATTCTGTCATTCCTAAGGCATACGCTAATTTAGCTCTTTCTGGACCAGCCAAATATTTCGTCTGCTCAAAAGTTTTTTCAAGTGCAAAAATTTGCTGCCCACTAAACGTTGGTCTTGTGTGTTTCTTTTTGCCATCTTTATCATGATTTTGATGAGATTGTGATAAACTTGCTGACACTGAAAGAATAAATAATAAAGAAACATATTGTATTTTTTGTTGTGTCAGATCGCATCTATAATACACATCTACATAACATGTACAAATAAGGAAGATGTTCTTGCACATATTTTTATAAGACGTATAGACATACATGTGTATACATCCTCCAGAGAGAAGAATTTCATTTAATATTCTGAATATGTTTATAATTTAATAAAATAAAATCATATAATCATATAATTTTGTGTTATAAAAGGAGTTAAACACATGTTAAAATTACTATTGCTCATGTTTTATCATCATTTTTGTATTTTTGTATTTTAGGCGCGTAACACTTAAGTATGTTGCACCATATACCTATTGTTGCTTTGTTATATACATTCTTTTTTATTTTATTTGTTTAAGGATCATCTATGCAAGTAAAGATATTTACATATTTATTTTGCAACTATGGTACTTTAGGAGAACAAAAGGGATTTCAAACTTTTTGGCATTTTTTTTTTATTCAATCAATTTAATGTATATCAGGGCTGTCAAAAATAATTTCTTCAGGGATTTGTGACCATAAGATACAGATTTGTCTAAGATTTTTGGAATCTACACTTCCTAGGCCAGAGCGAACCTAATCCAAAATTCGTGGACGAAACTTAACAACACATTGAGAAAGAATTGCGACTTTACATTTGAAAATAATAAGTTTATTGTTCTAATTAAGGTTAAAAAAGCTATTACAGTTAATCACTTTATAATAATTAAATATCCTTCAAATGAGCAGTTTATGAAATTCTTCAAGCATCATTTAAGGATTTTATTTCAAGAAAGAATTAAATTACTGAGTAAATACAAGCAAATTCACTATTCTGAGAAGGGTGAAATAGAAAATCATAAAGCCCTGACAATACAGTATTTCGCTGATACGCGCAAGCATAATAAATTGCTTTATATTGCGAAAAATTATTTTATTCATCAAAAATCATATCGTTAGTGAAATGGAAAAGCGAAGAAATTGTTAAACATTTTATTATTTATTACACATATTTAAGTAAATTAAAGAACAGTGCTTTATATCTGTGTCGAACATTGACAATAGCAACAATAACCAATGTTCGATGGTAATATTTATTCATCTACAAAACCTTTCCTTCCTTTTCTTCCCCCCTCATATCATGCTCATTCAACACCCTCATTTTTACGAAGCGATAGCATTTAAACAAGAAATAATAATCATTATTCCTTTCTCCTTTTTCTCTCTCCCAGCTCTATTTTGGGGAGCAAACATATTTATGTGCATATATTGAAGATATTTTTAAGAAGGAAATAATAAGAACAAGAAGAAGTAAAAGTTTTCGCCCTCCTTTCTCCACAAATTTCATTATATATACAAGAAAAAAAACACAAATTTTGAAAGAATATCGACACGAAAACATGGTGTATATTTTCATGGTATATTCTTCGGTGTATATTATGCTAGATTATATATTGGAAAACAATATTGAAAAGCTTATGATAACAATATAAAAGCAGCAGAAACTTGATATAGAAAGCAATGCTATGGTTAAGAAAAAGGAGCGAAAGAGAAGAAAATAATGGTGTTTCACACCATTTTATTTACAAAATAAAAGTTCCATTTATATGTCAAAGATATCACATAATACAATATTTACGGGTATATTTGAAAATATTGTGGAATATGTTTGTCGCTTCATATTTTTGCCTATCCTTATCCGTATATGTTACTCTTATGTAGATTTAAGAATGCTTTTCTGTCTCCTGTCTTTCTAGAACTCTATAATAGACACGTATATGGGATACATAAGGAATTAACTATGATTTAATCTTAAGTTTTCGTATGGCTAACCGAAAAACATAAATCTATCTTTCTTTAGACTATGTATTGTATAAGATGAAATGATATTTCCCACATTAGAAAATTACCCTTCTACTTAAGATGTCCAGTGCATCATTATTTATAATTCTAAAATTAATGATCATTCATTCACATCATAACATTATCCTCATTGTTATCCAGCAAATTTCTTAAAATATAAATTAATTTATATCATTTTGATGGGTGAAATGTATTATTGTATACAAATGATGTATGAGGTATATTTCTTAGCTTTATATCAAGACGTTTTATTGATAAATTAACTTCTTTGGTAGTAATTCAGTACCTAATTATATATGTGTATTGCTCACACCTGAAAAATGTATTTAATTATGCTTTGTTAATATGTTTCAATTGAGTTATTGTTCGCTTCTTTTTGAGCATTAAAATTTTTATTTCTATTAATTGAATCATATTCAATTTGCTTAAAGTAGATATGAATAGATTTTTCTTTGTCTTCCTTTATATACATCTATCTTTAAAAAGAAATGATAAAATTACTGAGCTTATAAGCGATTTAATGTCATCATATTGTGAGTCTGGGTATTTCAGTAGATATGGTGCAATAAACGACTCTCTTAATAATGACGCGCTAACATTAAAAGAAATGCTGCTAGATTTTTTTTTTCCTTTCTTATACGTATTTTGGTCCTCAAGGTCTATGTGAAGAAAAAAAGAGCAGGCCAGATGTGAACGCATATTTATTATTATTTTTTTGTGTATACTGTACTGTTTTTGCTTTTATAAAATGATGATGATGTATAAATTCGGTTGATAACATTATGGATTTTTTCTTGTCTCTCTTTTTTTTCTGTCATTGTTCCCTAATTGAAACAAGCGAGGATTTAAAGATTTGCGCTTATTTTTTTTTTCACTATATGATTTCATTTTTTTCCCTATTCCAAAATAGACAGTTTCTTTTTGCTTTGGATTTCGCCTAAAGTAATAAAATTATGTCTCATTTGTTTTATCGCTTTTTTTAACCATGATGAAATTTGTTTTCATCCATGAAGTAAACTGTTAAAATGAGGATTTGCAGAATCATTTACCGTCGGTAAAAGGATTTCAATTGTTTAATTTGCAGAAATGTATTATAAAAGTTTATAGATTTTATTGAACGACCCTTGTCAAGAAAATATTGTCACCAAAAATATGTGAATTTCAAATGAGTATCCTTTTAATAAATTTAAAGCAATTATGGAAAAATCATCATCTCGTTTTCCAACTTAATTCTCTTTGCGGTTTTCCCCTTTTTTGAACCACAACAAATGTTGCACAATCAGAAGTTAGGTAGGTAGCCAAGCAATTAAATTTTTCTCGCTTTTTCTTGACTTGTATTAGTGTTCACTGTCGACTTTTAATGGCAATTATAAATGAACATATAGAACGTTATAACTGCACATTAAAGAGGGATAAGACGGAGGAGATTGAACAAATTGATAATAAAAGTTTCGAAAATTACTCAATAAGGAGCTATACATTTCATTAGACCATAAAATCTAAAGCCATTAAATTTCATCATAACTAACTGAATTGTTTATCTATTAATCGATATTTAGGGACAATAATCAAATATAATGACACTATTCGGACAATTGTTGCATTCTATTTATGTGAAATAGAAACTCTGTATTTTATCTCTCGACACGCTGATAAATTATTCCAATCACATTTGTCTGTATCGTATTGAGTTAAACCCTTGTAATTAGCTTTGTTTCCTCATCATGATCATTTCATCTTCTTCTTTTATAGTCTCCATGTATTTTGAAGTATTTTACATTTTATGAAATTATGTGACTATCATTACGTATATGTATTCCATGTACATTTATGAGACCATTTTCTGGGTTTCAAAATAAATTTCATATTTTAGAATAAGAAGGGGTATATTAATTTATCAGCATAGAGCTTTCCTTTTTTTCATATTTCAAGTCTTATATGCGTGTACATTTAAAAATTATCTTGAGCATTATTTTAAAACCCTCTCTCTCTATATATATATATATATATATCTCTATCTCAGTCCTTATTCCATACACAGCAGATTTTTGTTTCAATTATTTTTTGGTATTTAACCCTTCGAAGGGTTCATGTTGTTTTTAATGCGAATAAAAAAATATGTATTTTTTTTTCTCCTTCCAACACAATCCAATCCTATGATGAAATTAATTTGATTATGAAAATTAAATTTAATAACAATGTTGGCAATATTTCAGGTAATAAAAAGTTAAAATAGTTGATTAAATTTCTTTAATCAAGGACTATAATAATTTTTATGAACCTGTTTGTTCACAAGCGTATTTTGTTGAACATACGAAATTGTTTTTAAAGATTAGTCAATTACTTTTAGGGCAATAATGATATTGAACGATACACTTGTATAAGATACAAATGCAAGATTTAATAAGCGATTGTTGATCCTTCAGGATTAAAAATGCGTTTTGGACATTTAATGCTCAAACAAGAGCATTACCCACTAGAGATTAATTTAACAGAAGAAAATAATCAAAACAAAAATAATAATAGTAATGAAGTCAAGATCAAAGAATGTGAAAATTATGAGTGCTTGTGGAATATTTACTTTTGATAATGCAGCATCTCGCATTGCCAATTGATATACATTAAAAATAAATATATAGCCATAAGAAACAAAAAATTGAAAATATAATAATTTCTTTTAACGATTCCTTATCACATTTGTATGTATGTTTATATGTGCGTGTCTCAAGGGCATCATTAAACTTTATTTTTATTGTATAATAATTTTCCTTTTATATATTATTATCTTACAACAATAGATGGATATATCAAAAAGATACAATGTTTTATCAATATATGTATGTCCATACGATGTTCTATCTATTTATTTGTGTAACATTTATATGATAATCTCATGATATGGAGCAAAATGATGTCTTTATGTTTCTCAATATATGAGAGAGAGATGAGGAGCTTCATTTACACGTAAATAAAGTGTAGTCTTTTATAAGCAATGAAGTAAGGAAGAATTTCAGTTATCTAAGCACGAAATAGCCATTATGTTTACCACCACTTAGTCTGCCATACACAATGATATGAATTAATTTAGTTTTGATTTTCATCGTCATAGAGTCATTTATGTAGTTCCAACGAAAGCTGCCTCTTCAAAATCACCAAAAAGAAGATGTATGCTTATAAAAGTGAGCGAATATTTATTTAATGGCATATATGACGACGATGTTGATGATGATGGCACATGAAAGAAAACTAAACAATTAACTGTCGTTATCATTCAAGTACCAAATCTTATCCATTACCGCTATATAATCGTTTTGACTAAATGTGTTTGAAATTAGGCACATCATGTGAATATCATTGTTAATTTCATGAGGACGCGTCACCACATGTCGATAACGACATCTGAGAGGCAAAAGCCATCAGAGACTGTACTGAAAATATCATCATCATCGTCATCATCGTTGTTCACCATATTTTATATTGCATATTTTGTCCATTATCTACCATTGTATAATATTTCATAGGAAAAATGTTAATAAAGCTCAATGTATCTTAAAGAATCAGATGAGGCTATGGCGTAATAAAGAGTAGAAAAAAAGACCCATTATTACGTCACATGTACGAAAAACTGTGGAGAAATCGATAAAAAAAAAGAAAATTTAAGATACAGAGCATTTAAAGCTCAGTTTGAGCTTTATAAAGTGGAAATTCCACGAATTTTCTTTCAATTCAATTAATTTGTGCATGTACATAAAGCAAACATGAGCGTTAGTCGAATACGAATACATAAATTCACATTAATCAAAATATAAATCGCAATATATCAAAAACTGTTTTTTATTCATCCTTTTCGTGCTTCATCTCTTCCATTTTAATATCATGAAGTAAAAAATGATTGTTTATGTAAAACCAAAAATTTATTTTGTTATGATTTAAGATCATGATAAATGTGTATCCCATATTTTGCTTTTATATCAGGTTTTATTTCAGCAAAAAGAGAATCACGTCCATTTTGAAAGGCAGACGATTGAAAAACAAATAGAAGATATTTTTGATTGGAGGCATGCGAATGAATTTCATTCAGACAGGAGATTGCTATAGTATTAAAGAGGGGAGAATTTAATATTGTAAAATCCATTCGTACAGATAAATATGCATATATCCCATGACTACCTGAATGCTATATGAAGCAAATAGAATTAAATTATGTGATTGCAATCGATAACATTTTTTTTTATGTAAGATTTCAGTGAATTCCGCTCAATCGCCTCAATTATTTGATAACATCTACATAAACAATTTTATTACACCGAAAATAATTTTATATCTCTCGCATACAATTTATTCATACAATAACAACAAGGCATACTCGGCAAACTCATATATATTACTGATATACATTTTTATCCGCCCGCCCTCGCATCATAACGAAGCAGCAACAATAAATCTTAATTACGGGGAAAAACAATAATAAATAATTCTTATGATTTCATCTTGCGTACACACATAGATGGAAATCGGAGAGCAAAATGCCTAATGACACATCAAATCGTTAATATTTGTGATTTCAATTAAACGAATGATTTGGCTTTTCTCTTCATTCATATTACACATATTTCCGCTTCAAATGAGGAGAGGGATAATCGTAAAATTTATGTTGAATATGTACAATTGCTTTTCTCTTTCGACTGCTCTTTGCTGCCGCTTTTCGGAGGCTAGTATTAGTTAATTAATTGAAATGAAAATATACGATTATTATTATTATTATTATTATCATTATTTTGAATTTTAATTATTCGCTTTTGATCTTTGTTCCTACATTGACTTAATATTCATTTATGCACGCGAGCGGAAACAGTGATAAGTTTAATTTTGGACATTTTGTTCAATTATCCAAAGAGTTATGACGCCTTCGGTTTAATTTAACCCTGATTGCCTTTGTTTCTAATAAAAACATGTTTTAAAGTAGTAGGGACTTAGCGAGGATCTCTTTTATAATATTTTAAAATATTTATATTACTTTTCGTACTGAGAAATACTTTCAAGAAGTGTATCAAAATGTTGTCTAATCTTCTTTTCTCTTACTTTCTGTAAGTTTTATTGAATTTTGCGCCTTAAAACTGTTAAATTGTTAAAAGAATATCCAAAAATTCGCAAAAACAAGTCAAATATCTACACAGACAAAATGAATGCGATCTCATTAGCAAACTGTGTAAATGCACAGATTTCAATTGCGTATTGTCGAAATTTATGATTGCTAATCTGCCTCGCTTGTCTATCTCGAAATTTAATTAATTTTCATACGAATGTTAGCAGTGATTTGCAAGCATAAACTATGAAAATCATTTTAATAAAGCGACGAGTGTGTGAATATAATGCTTCATATAATTTCATAATTTACGCTCATGCCTGATGTTATCTAATCAATCATGTTACACATGCATGACAAAGAATGATATAAAATAAAAACGAAATTGCATGTAAAAGGATACATGTATGTACACAATGGGTAAATTTGTTATCAAAATTCATTAAATACTTATATCGTGTATCAAATAAAAAAAAGAATGTACAAATATACAAAAGCACAGAATATTAATATAAAATACAATCTGCTTTATTAGATTAGCAATCATTATCGCATAATATTATTATTAATTTGCTTGTTTTTCGCTTGATTATGTGATTTTTCGTTTAATTATAATGAATTATTCAATATATTCGATAGTTATTGCTTTCAAAATAACCTTCAAATAAATTTGTTAATTCCAATGTGTGCGTAATGAACATTTTTGTTTTTTTTTATTCATTTGGAAAATATACAATTGTAACGAGGTAATTAAAAGAATTTAAAAAATTTAAAACTTTTTTTATAATAGCTCAAATGTCACACAAAAGACAATCTGTGGAAATTTGATAGTCAAATTTTTTTTCACTAGTTTTTAAAATTTATTTAAATGCTTTGATATGAGATGATAAATAATAAAATTATGAATATTAATGTGTCATGATTAATCAAATGTTATGACTTACTTGAGCCAAGTCTTTCTCGCCACGCCATGGGATTAGCTACAAGACCCTGTAATCCGGGCCAATATAAGTGTGTTCTTTCTACAAGCGGACCCGAATGCGATTTCATTGGAGTTCCTTGATTTTGTGATAAATATTGTGCCATATTTGCTGCCGCCGCAGCTATTGAGAATCGAGGCATTCCTGCTTTAAAATTAAATAAAGATAGCGCAATATTAATCAATGAGGTCCAGAATAGAGCCATTAAGATTTTTTATAATATCTTACCTCCTAAGGCATTCAGGTGAGCATTTGTAACGGGAGTAGGTCGAGATAGAATGGAATCAATGCCATGTGGATTGGTGACACATTGTGAATTCTGTGAAGTTTGTGGGCTGTTTTGTGACTTCATTTCAGTCATAGAATGAAGTGCAGCTAACGGAGGCCCTAAAAAGCTCATTTGTAATTTATGATCTAACATATCGGCAACGGTTTGACTTTTACTATTATTACTTTGAGATTTTGATGATAAATTTTCTGGACTTTGTGAACCTATGCTATCATTATTATTATTTGGACTGCGACTTGAAATATCATCATTTTTATGACTTGAATATGATCGAGACGTTTCTTCTGGACTACAGGTTTCTGCGCGCTTATTCGGACTATCAATTCGGAAATGATCTCTCGGACTGTTACCACGACTATTCACTTCACTGTAGTTCTTATGGTCACTATCAATATTTTTATTATTTAATTGAATATTATTGTTGTTATTGTTTTGGTAGCAATAACTATCACTCTCACAATTAGCTGATGGGCTATTATTACTTGCTAGATATAAATTAACAGGACTTTTATTGTGTCGAAATCCTTGTGAGAAATTCAATCCATTGGAATCACATTGATCGAATGAATTGAAATTCGAAAAACCGAATGATCCATTCGATCCTAAGAATCCCGGTGTCCTAAACGCCGCCAGGGTAATATATTTTTTTCTATCCAACGCGAAATAAGTAAATGTAAATTTTTAAAATAATTTTCACTCAATTGTTTTTCAAAAGCACTTTCTACTTCTTTTTCAGATTATTTTACAATTTATTCTTATCATTAAGCTTTCTTTTATATTATTTTAAAGTATTTTTTTTTTTGATAAAACTGTTTAATATCTTTTATTTAATTTTTTTATCATTCATTGATTTTTGATTATTAATATTTTTTAAACACTTTAAATGTTTTATTTTTTTTTACAATTTTAATTGAAGTTTCCAAAATTCAAATTAATCACCACTTTTTCTTTTAAAAAACCTTTTTCGTAAAAATATTACGTGAAGAAAAAAAAGTACGTCCAGTTTCTTGTGTGTATTTGACTTGAATGACTTATATGATTTTAAAATTACTTTTTCATGTTCGGTCTCTCTCACTCAATGTTACAATTCATTGTTTTCTTTATTCACTTATTTTTATTTTCCTTTTTCATATAGTTATTTGTATATATATCATGGAATTTTGATTAAACTAATACGTATAGATTTAGTCGTTGAATCGAAATGGAAAAATAAAATAATCACCAGAGCGTAGAGAGAATAGAAAAACCTATCCGATTGCGATGCGATCGAAAGTAAGAATGTAAAGTGGAAATAATAATGTTGTGTATCGAATGATTTTTTTGTTCTGTTCTCAAATGCTCAAAAGTTTTTTTTTGCTCCTTTTTTACTTGCTAGCCGTAATGAAAAGTCAACGACAAAAGAATATTATTATTTTTAAGATTTTTTTTTCATTCCTTACACAGCAGTTTTATGCTTTTTTCATAACTTTATAAAAATGTGTTATTATTGTGCATATAATAGTAGTGTTTAAATAACATGAATGTTTTTTCGGAACCGCCTCAATCTGTTGTCTCCGCCCCGAAACATATACACATTTACGTTTTATGCTACTGCTGAGATTCTAAAACACCATTGTTATGCACGACAAAAAAAAAGTAATGAAATCATTCTCTCACTATAGAAATGGAATTGAAAGCATTTTTAAGTAAACTAGACATTTTTATATTATAGCGAAAGTTCATTATTTTAAATCTAGCATTTGTATAAAGCAGAGTTGAATGCAACTGAAGAGGAAAATGATTCATAAAAAATTATGATGGAAAATAAAAGACGAGTGATTCTCTTTGCGAGAGTCGTAAAATATATTTTCTGAGATTCTCTTTGCACTCATTCAGATACGTACTCAGGGAGACTTTTAAGTTATTTTAATTAATTTATGTTGTTGCAACAGACAACAGTGGTCTTAATTTATTGTATTCGCTTTACTTCTTATTCATATCACTTTGTCTAGAAATAACATTTGAAGTCGTTACATCCTTAATAAATTTTATGACATTTGATTTAATATTTGATTTATTTTCATTGAGAATAGCAACCTGGATACAACAAAATAGACAGAAATACTAATAATGCTCATTGAATGTTATCATAATATTCTGCGAGATTCTCATTTTCTCTTTATCCATTTATATATATATTTTTTCTGTATGTTTTTTCGTGTGAGGAATGCCTCTTTCTCTCTTTTCTTTCCCAATTGAGATTTTGCAAACTTACTTTTTCGCAAAGAGATGAATAAAATTATAGCTATTTTACCATCTGGGTAAATTTCTGTATAATACTGTCTCATATTTTAATTTTTCTCCTAAAATATATTAAGAGAAAAAAAAAATCAAAATACATTAACTTATTTGTGAAGCATTTAATCTAATAGTTTTGTCGCTTAAATGTTAGGGTGGATTGTTTTCAGTGCTTTTGAACCTTATAAACGTATTGATCTGGAACAAATTACATTAACAGATTTTTATATAGAATCAATATACAAAAATGTGATACAGAATGTAAATTTTCGAGAAAAATACATTTTTTTGTGATCCATTAAATTATTGGCAATAATAAAAATATTTGATTATGGAAAATAAATGCATGCTCGATATATATATTGAGTTTTTTTAAATTTAACTTAATGAAATGGCCTCGAAAAATTTATTTTTTTAGAGGATGGAGGGAAAGAAAAAAACGTAATCGATGTTATTTATGTAAATTTTTTCATTTGAATAAAATTTTCAATAAAATAAAGGATATAAAATCAAAATGAATTTTTCTTCTGTTCTCCTGGCAAAATCGTGAAAATCAATTGATTTTGCATACCATGCAAAATTGTTTTAAGTTATTTCAATTTATTATTTTTATTTCTTTAAATTATAGAACTAAAATTGACAATAATATTTTATAATGGAACATGCTTTTTGATTTGTTTCAGTTTTATTTTGCACGTCAAATAATTTAGAAATTCTTATTAGATTCAACTAGTTTCAATTTCATCCTTGTTCACTTATCTCAGATTTTGTGATTTATGTGAAATTTTGTGTATTATATTAAATCCGTATCTAAAGTTCATACAAAATCAAATTTAGGGATAAAATATAACAAAATCTTGATATTGGACATTTTAAAAATGAAAAAGGTATTATATGGAGATACTTCCTTAACCTGAAAACTGTACGTGAATTTTCTGTCTTATCTACTTTGCTGGATACTTAAATTAAATGAATAAATTAGAAACTAATTGCGTTCAAATCATTTCGTTTGTGAATAGCTTTTAAAACTTATTATCTCTTCCTCGTACTCTCCTCTCTTCAAAAAACATTTTCTCTCTTCATTAATTTCATTCAATTTCCATGTGATTAGTCCTTATGTTTGATTTTTTTTAGGAGATTTAAATTCTTGTACAAATCAAAAGGTACAGATATGAATTATATAAATATTGATTTTAAAAATCAATGAACAGAAGTTAACAAAAAAAGATATGATCTTAAAATTTATTAAACGAGGACCTTAATAAAGATAATTAAGAGGAAGAAAAAATAGAATAAGGAACTTCTTCATAGTTTTTAAGGAGAGCATCTATTTTTCGTATCATGGTATTGATCCCAGATAAATCAACAATTACGAAATTAAAATTCAGAACGTGTTTTTATTTTTCACAATTTCCAATTTTTCTGTACGGACACAGCACATAAAGCATTGTTTCAATTCTTTCAAAAACAATAAAAATTCAATTTTTTAATTGGAACACACATACAATTTTACATGCGACAGAGTGACAATGTAAATGTTTCTAGTTTTGTTTTGATATCACTTTTGGTTCGTTAAATTTTCATTTAATTTTCTTTATTTGAATTGTCATCAAAGTCTTTATTTTACCAAACTCGCTGTTATATATCGTTGAAAATTCTTTCTTCAGTGAAATTTTTTACTAAAGGTTAGTTTTTAGAAATCAAGGTAATCAATTTCGGAGTGCCACAAGGAGCAGTGCTTTCACCAACTCTCTACAACATCTTCACGTATGATGTTGTAAGAGAGACAACCAACAACATCGGTCTTTTCGCAGATGATACAGCACTGTATCATTCTGCAGAGAACTCGGCCGATATTGTGACACATCTCCAGCACATAGGAAGAAAAGTTCAACAATACATGAACGGACATGAACTAATAGAAGATCAACCTCAACAAACAGAAGATTCAAGCATTGTTAATCACAAACATGTACTTCAGGCAACTTCCAGGAAATAACATCAAATTTCTCAACGAAAACATCAAAAGGGTAACAGAAGTTAGATATCTGGAAATTGTGATCGACAAGAAAGTGACATTAAAGCCGTATGTGGAGTATGTGACCAATAGGTCTCACAGCGTATTAAAACAGCTTTATCCGCTCATCAGCAGGAACTCACAACTCGACGTACGAAAAAAACTTCTCATCTACAAGCTAGCCCTCAGACCAATATTCACTTATGGTTGTCTAGCATTTGAAAGCATGGCAAAAACCCTCCTTACATAACTTCAAGTACTGAAAAACAAATTCTTAAAAATTTTTCTCAATAATACAAGATATGAAAAGATCGCCAATCTTCATTCAGAAGCGAAAATACCGTCCATTGAGGACTACGTTGGAAAGTTATAAGCGAACTTCAGCAGTCGTCTTGCGTCCCGCTACACTTCAGGTTCCTGACCCGTTCCTTAATCCAACGTTGCCCAAATGCCCAATTATGGCTTGATCTCCTACATTAAGCAGTCGAAGTATCTAAACTTCCGAAAAAGAACAAATTTGAAAATGGCTGAATTCGAACCGACGACCTTCGAGTTGCCATCCCAAATTTGAGCCAAGCGCCTTACCTATTTGACCAGCAAGGCACTAAACTGCTTAATAATTATAGTAAAGCATGTAAAGTTCAATTAAAATACTTTAAATGGGTATTAAAGGGCTTTTTTCTATCAAAAAAATCAAAAATTGAGTTAAGCCGAAAAAATCGAGAAAATGCAGCATAAAATTTGGTTTCGGCAGCTTCTTATTAGTTCGTAATATTCTTCAGGAAAGTAGATTTTTACTTTTTCTTGGCATTTCTTTTCAATTAATCCAAAATCGTTGCCATTGGGAAAGTAGCTGTGTCCACTAATCATTCGATCATAGTAGGCTATTTTCAAAAAATATCGATTTTATATCTATATTAGCACTCTTTATCATTTATAATACAAAGATATGTTTTAAAATGCAATTTAAAGCATTTTTGGTTTCGATCATAGTAGGCTATTTTCAAAAAAAATATCGATTTTATATCTATATTAGCATTCTTTATCATTTATAAAACCAAATTATGTTTTAAAATGCAATTTAAAGCATTTTTGGTTTCGATCATAGTAGGCTATTTTCAAAAAAAATATCGATTTTATATCTAATTTGGCATTCTTTATCATTTATAAAACCAAGATATGTTTTAAAATGCAATTTAAAGCATTTTTGGTTTCGATCATAGTAGGCTATTTTCAAAAAAATATCGATTTTATATCTAATTTAGCATTCTTTATCATTTATAAAACCAAGATATGTTCTAATATGCAATTTAAAGCATATTTGGTTTTAATCATAGTAGGCTATATTCAAAAAAAAATATCGATTTTTTATCTAATTTGGCATTCTTTATCATTTATAAAACCAAATTATGTTTTAAAATGCAATTTAAAGCATTTTTGGTTTCGATCATAGTAGGCTATTTTCAAAAAAATATCGATTTTATATCTAATTTAGCATTCTTTATCATTTATAAAACCAAGATATGTTCTAATATGCAATTTAAAGCATATTTGGTTTTAATCATAGTAGGCTATATTCAAAAAAAAATATCGATTTTTTATCTAATTTGGCATTCTTTATCATTTATAAAACCAAGATATGTTTTAAAATGCAATTTAAAGCATTTTTGGTTTCGATCATGGCAGGCTATTTTCAAAAAAATATCGATTTTATATCTATATTAGCATTCTTTATCATTTATAAAACCAAATTATGTTTTAAAATGCAATTTAAAGCGTTTTTGGTTTCAATCATAGGAGGCTATTTTCAAAAAAATATCGATTTTATATCTAATTTGGCATTCTTTATCATTTATAAAACCAAGATATGTTTTAAAATGCAATTTAAAGCATTTTTGGTTTCGATCATAGTAGGCTATATTCAAAAAAGTATCGATTTTATATCTAATTTAGCATTCTTTATCATTTATAAAACCAAATTATGTTTTAAAATGCAATTTAAAGCACTTTTGGTTTCGATCATTGTAGGCTATTTTCAAAAAAATATCGATTTTATGTCTATATTAGCATTCTTTATCATTTATAAAACCAAATTATGTTTTAAAATGCAATTTAAAGCATTTTTGGTTTCAATCATAGGAGGCTTTTTTCAAAACAAATATCGATTTTATATATAATTTGGCATTCTTTATCATTTATTAAACCAAGATATGTTTTAAAATGCAATTTAAAGCATTTTTGGTTTCGATCATAGTAGGCTATATTCAAAAAAGTATCGATTTTATATCTAATTTAGCATTCTTTATCATTTATAAAACCAAGATATGTTTTAAAATGCAATTTTAAGCATTTTTGGTTTCACTCATAGGAGGCTTTTTTCAAAACAAATATCGATTTTATATATAATTTGGCATTCTTTATCATTTATTAAACCAAGATATGTTTTAAAATGCAATTTAAAGCATTTTTGGTTTCGATCATTGTAGGCTATATTCAAAAAAATATCGATTTTAAATCTAATTTAGCATTCTTTATCATTCATAAAACCAAGATATGTTTTAATATGCAATTTTAAGCGTTTTTGGTTTCGATCAAAGTAGGCTATTTTCAAAAAAATATCTATTTTATATCTAATTTAGCATTCTTTATCATTTATAAAACCAAGATATGTTTTAAAATGCAATTTAAAGCATTTTTGGTTTCAATCATAGGAGGCTTTTTTCAAAACAAATATCGATTTTATATCTAATTTGGCATTCTTTATCATTTATAAAACCAAGATATGTTTTAAAATGCAATTTAAAGCGTTTTTGGTTTCAATCATAGGAGGCTATTTTCAAAAAAATATCGATTTTATATCTAATTTGGCATTCTTTATCATTTATAAAACCAAGATATGTTTTAAAATGCAATTTAAAGCATTTTTGGTTTCGATCATAGTAGGCTATATTCAAAAAAGTATCGATTTTATATCTAATTTGGCATTCTTTATCATTTATAAAACCAAAATATCTTTTAAAATGCAATTTAAAG